AAAAAAAAAAAAAAAAAAAAAAAAACGCGTTCTGGGTCCAAACTCCAAACAACGGACAGACCATTTGGCCACTAAAAGGTGCGGCAAAGGCAATGGACTAATAAGTGACCACAGTGCCTCGACCCTCGAGATCCGTGCCACCAGCACACCCTCATCCAAACACCCATCCAAAAACACACACACACACCACCGTAGTCGTTTTTTCTTTTCTTTTGCCTCCTCAAATTGAGATGCAAAAACCACCTTTGTATCTCCCCCTGCAGACTCGGCCAAAAAGTCTTCTTTGTCGTTGACCAAATTGCAATCTCATTCATCTTGTTCCTCCCCCCATTCCTCCTCCAACACATTTCTTCTTTCCATGGCTGCCCACTTCAGGTTCCATGCCCTCCACATCCCCGAAATCACGGGCATCATTGTCTCGTTTCTGACCTGGAAGGACCTCCTCGTCTGTCGCGGAGTCTCCCACGAGTGGCGCAGCTTGTTCTCGCCCCACCTGCACCTCTCCGCTATCTACTGGAAGCAGAACAGGGACGAACGAGCCCAACTGGTCCAGCGCCTCGAGACCCTGGGGCCTTTTGTCGATTCGCTCAGAGTCGTCTATCCTTTTGCACAAGAGCTTGAGACTATCAGCCGCACATGCACCAATTTGGCCCACATTGGCTTCTTTTTCAGTTTCAGAGACACGCCATCGGTTCATGTGGGTGCACTGCAGCAGTTCCTTGCAGCCATGCAGATGCTGGAGAGCATCGACGTCTTTTCACACAATGACGACGCAAGGACAGCCATCTTGTACTGCCTGGCAACGTATCCGTCCACGAATTCTTCTGAAACGTGCTCTCCATCGCCCGACTCTTGTCATTCTCCAAGTGCAAACACAACCAACGCAGCTCCCATATCATCGACCCCTTCAACGCCACCGCCGCAACAAGCACCAACAACTGGAGTACTAAAGAAACTTAAGATTGAGCACGGAGGCCACAGTATGAAGGTAGCGCTGTTGCGCTGGGACCATGTTGAGGCAGTGTTGGAACGGAATCAGTCCATCACACATCTGCATCTCCAAGAGGCGATCGTCAAAACGAATGCTGAGCTGCTTGCCAACCCCGAGGACGAGGATCTGGACTGGAATGAGGACGTGGCAGCTCGTGTCCTCGGAAGTCTCCCCATCAAGCGCAGATTCAGCCGATTCCTCAACAGATTGTCGTCGCTGTCCTTTAGGCGAAGGCCCGTGTCAGGACCAGATTCAACATTGTCATCAGCAACAGCATCCATAGCACCAGCACCTACCAGCTTATCGACAGAGGACGAGGCCTCATCGTCAACGATCCAACCGGAACCGCTTCCCACACTCTTGTTCTCCTCCGTTCTACCCGACGTCGTCTTTAGCAACATAAAGAGTGTTGTACTCCACCAGATCACAATGTCTAAGGAGCTGTACTGCAGCCTCCTGTCCCGGTGTCCTCAGTTGACCACATTGGAAGTGACTGGAACAGGATCCATCTTCAACAACTGGTCCGATGTTGCTGCAAGTTGGTGGGATTGGATCGAGCACTGTCCATTACTGGAATCGGTGCTTATCGACCAGCATCTGTCCATGGATATTCGCGAGGTATGGGCAAGAGCTCCCACATGCCTGCGCTCCTTTCAGATGAACGATATCGACTGGGTTGTGAAGCCGGAAGCATCAAGTAGCAGCAACAACAGTGGCCTGTCTGGAGGACTGGGCTTTATTGGCAGTTTTGGCATGACGGCTGGATCAACAATGACGCGATTGCATCTGGAAACGAATCAGCATATTGGAGAACCTGCGATTCACTACATCATGCAACACTGCTGGTCCCTGCAGTCGCTCTGTCTGGCCGTGAAGACTTACAATGCCCAGAACTTTTCAAAGTTTTATGGCGAGTATCCTCAGTGGGCCTGTGGCGACACGCTGAGGTCACTCGAGATCAAAGCGCTACACGAGAGCTACGGTGATGTTCTGAGCCTGTGG